TAAATGACAATTACATTGAATGTGTTATATTTTCTATCATATCAAAATTTTCATAATAATAGTTGCACACAATATTATATAATAATGCAATTTTTTTATAGATTTGGAGTCCTACTTTTACTACAAGAAAATGAGAAAATTCCATCGAAAATAACAACAAGAATATAACGATCTTCTTAATTTAAATTGAGAAAAATCATGTCTTTTGGTTTCTTAAATATATTTTATCTTATTGTGACTGTATTGATTTATTAAAATGTATTACAAAATGAGAAAGGTGATAGATTAATTTATAAATTACAATGACATGTTATTTTGATGGAATATTTTTTCTATTAACTAAATAATGCCCCCAATATGAAATTATTTTAGATCTATCACTGCAATTAGCTTTCCAATGGAATTTCCTTTGAATTTTTGCACAATTCCAATGACAGTTTTTCCAACGATTGAAATATGGTCCAAAAAAAATCCAATGGAAATTCAAGTAATTGAAATCTTTAAATCCACTAAAGTTCAAGTAATTTAATTTGAACTTTGTTGGAATAGCCAATGAAATTTTCCAATGAAAGCAATATTTATGAAATATTCGTTGGAATTTTCTGTAGATTACCTTACCGTTGAATTTTTCATTGCAATATAGCAATTTGTTGCAGTCCTCTTAAACATTAATTTTTTATGTAGCATTTATTTATTAATTGTGTTTACAATTTTTCTATTAAAAATATATTAAACACATGAACTTTTTAGTTCCTATATTTTTTTTTTCAGAAATTACTCATTATTTTATCTCAAGATTACCTATTAATTTACCAATTGAGTTACATTTCTTACATATTAAATATTTAAAAATTAGAATATTTCCTATTTTATATGTTCAACATGATATTTATATATTATATTAAAAAAACTAATATAGCAAATAAAAAGTTATTTAAAATTAGAATAACAAAGATTATTTTTTGGTAACTTACATGGATAAATGTACAAATAACTATTGTCTATCACATCAAATTTACACATAAAATTATAACGAGAAAAAACTAACAAGCGTTTAACAACTCAGCTCGTTTACGTCGATAAGTATATTTATAAAAGGTTTATATTTCTTCTATTAATTATAACATTTTTATTTATTACTTTGTTTCATATTTATTAGTACGTGTCACAACTTATTTATTTTTAATATTATTTATCATATTTAATATTATTTTTTAACCTTTTATCTTGTTCTTTTACATGTTCTTAACTGTAGATTTGTCAAAAAATGCATGATATAAAGTCTAGAATTGTTTCGACCATCTGTCTCATTATATATCAATTATTTGTATATCTTATATTATATTATATTTAATTACAATTTTTTTTAATTTATTCTACAATTAAATATTTATAATTCATAAATTCATCAATAATATTGTCGAGTCAACTTTTATTCATAAAATTTTAAAAAACATAATTATTTTCAATTATATGCTTATGTCGAATTGAGAAAAGTTATTGTTTTTTAATTGTAACTGTATTGATGTGTAACATATATTATAAATGAGAAAGATGACAAATTATGAAAAATATAATTTATAAATTATAATGATATTATCTTATTTTACTGGTATACCTTTTCTATTAACTAAATAATGCCTCAAGTATGAATTTATTTTGTATCCACCACTGCAGGTAGATTTCGAATAGAACTTCCATTAAAATTCTTACATTTCCAGTGACATTTTTTCCAACAGTTGAAAAATGACCCGAAAAAAATTCAAACGGAAATTCACACAATAACAAATAATGATAACTGGATTAATTAAATCCACTAAAATTTCAATATAATGTAATTTGATCTCGGAATAGTCAATGAAATTTTACAATGACAGCTATAAGAATAAAATGTCATTTGGGATTTTCAGTGGATGTCTTACCGTTGGATTTTTATTGCAATGTACCATTTTTTTATTCCTTTGTAAATTATAGTTTTTATGTAGAAGTTTTTGTTATTAATTAGATGTATTTATAATTTTTCTATTAAAAATATATTAAACACATGAACTTTTTAATCCATATAATTTTTAGAAATCGTTCATTATTTTATCGCAAGACTACCTATTAACTTATCAATTGAGTTACATTTCTTGCACATTAAATATCAAATAATAAAAAGTATTATTGTATATATATAATATGGTATTTATATATTATATTAAAAAACTAATAGCAAATAAAACGTTATTTAAAATCAAAATTATCAAAGCTTTATTTAAAAAAATAAACTAACCTACATGAATAAAAGTATAAATAACTATTGTCTATCGTCTAAAATTTATACATTGAACTAATAAGCGCAAAAATTTAACATGTGGTGAACAATTTGGCTCATTTACATCGATAAATACAAATTTAAAAGTTCTACAAATACTTTTACTAATTATAATATTTTTATTTATTACTTTTTTTCATAGTTATTAGTAAGTATTACAACTTAGTTATAAATTTAATATTATTTATTAGATTTATTGTTTTTTTAACTTTAAACTGTTTTTTCATATGTATTTTAATATATATGTGTGTGTGTGTATAACTTTTAGGTTTGTTAAAAAATATATAAAATTAAAGTATAGCACTTTTTTGAATCATATGTCTTATTTATATCAATTAATTTTATATATTTATATTATATTATATATAATTATAATCTTCTCATTTATACTCAAATATATAAATTTTTTATTTCGTACATTTTTTTCTTAAAACCTATTTTATTATAATAACACATATTAATAGATAGATGAGTAATGATAATATATGAATATAATTATTTGATTAAAATAATTAATTTTCAACATGTAAATCATATATGATTTTCGAGATATTTTTAATTTATTTGTAGATAATTATATGCTTAAAATTAATCCATGTGGCTAACGTGATATCTCATTTAACGTGAAAACAAATAGATTAAGTTTTAGTATTATATAATTTCACAAAATTATTTGGTCTTATGTATCGAAGAAATTGAATTGATTAGAAATTTAGGTTGCAGAACAATCATTCAACAATTATGCTCGCTTACTATTACAGATTTTGTATAGGTTATTTTGAAAATAATGTTTCTATACTTTGTGGTCGTTATGAGAAAAAAACAATATCGATTTCTAGTTTTATATGTGTCTATTATGCTTTTTTTGTTGGATCAATTTTAATTTCTTTAAGGAACTTTTATATATTAAAGTTATGAAATGTGATTACAATATTACCATTAAAATTATATTAAAAATAATGACGTTTTTCAAAACAACAATTCTATATCCTATCAAACAGTTTTAGAGATATGTGGAAGAAAACAAATTCGTGAGAAATAATGGTGTCGAACCAACATACTGTAGTTGATTTTAGGAGTGTGGAATGATTTGTTCATGTATTTGTATTTAATTAATTAAATATTAGTTATAATTAAAAATATAAGATATGATGGACATGAATATATTACTAATTTGCCATTAAAAACATGTCAAAGTAAGAGTTTATTTGGTAATTCATTTTAATATTTAAAAATATAAAATATGATGTGTATCAGTGTATTACTAATTTGCCATTAAAAATATGGCAAAGTAAGGGTTTTTTAGGTAGTTCATATTTTTACAAAAACACTCGTCCTTTTAGAGTAGTATAGATAGATAGATAGATAGATAGATTAGAGTTTTGGGTCCAAAAAGCTTATCAAATAAGCTATTTACCAAACAAACTCAATAGCGGATTTGACGGGTCAAACCTCTCAATTAAGTCCAATCCGCTAATTTATCTTCAATCCGCTATCTACCAAACGGGGCCGATATTTTTTTAAGGTTATGTTTGGTAAAACTAGCTGATAAGCTAGCTTATAGCTTATTTGTAATTTTTTAGCTTATAGCTTATAGTTTATGACTTATAGCTGAAAAGCTAGCTTATATGATAAAAGTGTTTGGTAAAATTAGCTGATAAACTAGTTGAAATAAAAAATTCAACTAGCTTATTTGAAAAGCTACCTAAAGTAGCTTATGTGATAAGCTCGAGCTTTTTAAAAAGCTACCTAAAGTAGCTTATGAGATAAGCTCGAGCTTTTTAAAAAAGTTCGTCCTACCAAACGAAGCTTATTTAAATACAGGGAGCTTATAACCTAATCAAATAAGCTATAAGCTAACTTATTTGGATTACCAAACATAGCCTAAATGTATCATTTTATAGATAAAACAAAGTGCTCGGGCACTATTTTTTTTTTATTTCGTCCAGGACCTACTAATTTTCAGTGCCAGCTCTGCTCTAGGACCACCTAATTGAGCTATTCTAGGACCCATTCTTTTGAGATGTACCAGGTGTTGATATCACTGGGTATATTCTCATTTGGTCTGCTTAGTTTAATAGAAATCTTCCAGTTTTGGAACATTTTAGTAAGTTTCTTTATACATTGACTCGAAGAAACCCTCTTGCAGGCACCATATGTTCCTAGAAAAATGTATGTGTTTTTTCAAATGGTAAGGAATGTTTTTGTTTGCAAGGTCTATTGAACAAATTCATTTAGACTGTTTTCACAAAGTTTGAGTGAAGCTTTAAAACTATTTACACAAAAACCTCTGATTCTTGCCCAACATGTGTAAAATTAAAAATCCATGATTAGTAAATTGGTATGCTCTGTATCTGGAGATTTAACCGCTGAGACCATTTTTAACCTCTGATTCTCACTCAGGTTAATAATATGTATCCATGCATAAATGACAAATTTTTACACTCAAGATTAGGTGGAAAAAAAAGCACCAATCCAGGAAAGGTATTCAAGTTTTCCAATACGTTTCAAAAGTTAGTTGACTCGAACAAAGAGCAAGAAAAGGTTCACTCTATTATATCTCTACATATAAAGATTTCCACACACACACACATATATATACATACCTCCGAAGCTAGTCTTTATACAATACCAACGTCAGTTGAAATTCCATGCCCAATTAAAAACTCTGCAAATCAAAAAAATGATGATGAGTGGACCAAAACCTTCTATCCTTGCAGCTTTGTTTTTGGCCCTTCTTTTCATGTCCTTCAAACTAAGCAACTGTATCAACTGCACTGAAATTGAAAAACAGTCACTTTTAAGCATCAAGCAATCTATAAATGGTTCCTCAGACGTATTGTCTTCTTGGGATGCTAAATTTGATTGTTGCACGTGGAAAGGTGTTGTTTGCAGCAACTTAACTGGCCGAGTTCTGCAACTCCATATCCAAGGTAATTATTTAGGTGGCAAAATAAGCTCATCTTTGCTCAACTTGAAGCATTTAAAATATCTTGACCTGAGCCAAAACAGGTTTGAGGAAGAAATCCCATTTTTCGTTGGATCACTCACAAGCCTCGAGTACTTGAATCTATCATACGCTGGATTTTATGGAAAGGTTCCCCATAGTATTGGAAATCTTTCAAATTTGCAGGTTTTAAGTTTGGATGGAAATGGCTATTTAGCGGAAGTCAGTAGCCTTGAATGGTTGTGGGGACTTCCTAAACTAGAGCACCTCAACATGAATGGTGTGAACCTCAGCAAAGCAACCAACTGGGCTCAACAGGTTATCAACAACCTCCCTTCTTTAGTCGAGCTGCATTTTAGTGGATGTAATCTAAATTTTATGGCTCCTTTTAGTGATGTTAACAACATCAGCCGTTCTAATTTAGCCACTCTTGATCTCTCTTGGAATGACAATTTTTATACCATTATCCCTCCATGGTTTTTTCAACTCAGCAACCTTATCTATCTTGATATGAGATACAACACATTCGACGGACCAATTCCACTCGCGAGCAACACCACAAAACTCCAACACATTGATCTCTCCTTTAACAAATTGAATTCAAGCATTCCACAGTGGCTCTACTCCTGCAAGCGCCTCCAGCACCTCGATTTAAGTGAAAATGAACTTTCTGGAGAAATACCAAGAGAAATTGCAAATCTATGCAATATTCAGACCTTGAATTTAATGGGTAATAATTTGGAAGGAGAGATATTGGATTCATTTGGAAACAATATGTCAGATTGTTTCTTAGGAGCTTTGTTATCTTTAGATTTGTCAATGAATAAACTCTCCGGTCATTTGCCTCATCAATTTGGAGAATTTAGTAGTCTCCAATCCCTTTATCTTAGTGGAAACGCTTTGTCCGGTGTAATTCCAGATGAATTAGGGAAGTTGGTATCCCTTGAAAGGTTATACTTGGATAATAATAAATTGAGGGGGAACTTACCAGAGAGTATTGGGAAGCTTGTCAACTTGACACAACTTTCTATAGAGACTAACATGTTGGAAGGGGTTGTGACTGAAACCTTATTTGTCAATCTCTCAAATTTAAAAGTCTTGATAGCCTCTGGAAACCAGTTGAGTTTGAAAGTCAACCCAAATTGGAATCCACCATTCAACCTAGAGACGCTTAGTCTAGGGTCTTGGGACTTGGGATCATCAAGTTCTCGATTCCCCTTATGGCTTGAGACTCAGAAAGAGAGTATCTCCGAACTTGATTTGTCGTGTACTGGAATCTATGGAAACGTTCCCAGCTGGTTATGGAGTTTGAGTTTTCTCAACCTTTCGCATAACCAACTTGATGGAAAGATTTTATCCATTACTGATAGTGGACATGATCATCATTTTTCCAAGTTTTTTGACTTGAGTTCCAACAGGTTTAGTGGTCCACTGCCTCAACTAATGTCAACTTCAAGCTTTGAACTCCATTTTTCCAATAACTCATTTTCCGGAGGTTTGTCAGAATTTCTTTGTGTCACTACATCAATTGCAGTGCTCATAAATTTAGAAGGAAACCATCTTTCTGGAGAGTTACCCGAATGTTTTATCAATTGTCAATCATTGCAAGTGTTGAACTTAGCCAACAACAAATTGTCCGGAAGAATACCGAATTCCATAGGATTTCTAACAAATTTAGAGTCCTTGAATCTATACGGCAACAATTTCTCTGGCCACGTACCTTCTTCATTGCAAAATTGCAAGAACCTAGTGAAGATCGACTTTGGTGATAACAATCTTGGTGGGGACTTAACGAAATGGATTGGCACAAGTTTTTACGAGCTGAGGTTTCTGATTTTGCAGTCCAACAATTTGAGTGGTGAAATTAGTCCATCCATATGTCACCTCACTTCTCTTCAAATCTTGGATCTCTCTAATAACAAACTGACAGGGAGGCTTCCTCAATGCCTCAACAATCTTACCACAATGACCACTGAAAGGATTTTGGATAGGCCATGGTATTCTCATTATACTGAAAGTTTGGATATTGGATCTGTTGCATATGGAAGAGAATTTCAAGAAAGTGCATCAATTGCGATAAAGGGAAGAGAACTCACCTATGATGTCAATCTCTTTTTGGTTATCAGTATTGACCTTTCAAACAACATCTTGTCTGGTGACATCCCAAGGGAGATAACAAGTCTGGTTGAACTCAGATCACTTAACCTGTCACGAAATCATTTGACAGGATCCATCCCAGAAAACATTGGAAACATGAAGCAACTCGAATCTCTTGATTTCTCGATGAACTCATTGTCGGGTGAGATTCCAAGTAGCATGTCAATCATGACTTCACTAAATTACATGAATCTGTCGTATAACCACTTGACTGGAAGAATCCCAGAGAGCACCCAGATTGGGAGCTTGGATGAGTCGAGCTTCATGGGCAACAATCTCTGTGGCCCTCCACTTTCAATATCTTGTGGAAATGACGATAAAGCCCTTCATCCAACGCATGCAGAGAATGTAGGCCGAGAAGGTAATAAGCGAGAGATTGATTGGTTTTACATATTCCTATCTTTAGGGTACGCCGTCGGGCTTTCGGCTGTCCTCATGACATTTTATTATGCGCCCTTTCACAAGTTATGGGACAATGTTTATGTGTATTTCGTGATCAAGTGGAGAAGGCTCAGAAGAGTGTTGGACTGAAATTTGTGAAGGCTCTGCCAACTAAGTTTCCATGGATGTCTCCTCCAGACAACGTTACGCTTTAATTTCTGTGTGGCATTCTCATGTCTTTACTATTTAAGGTGTTCATTATGTTGTTTGTTTGATGCTTGTTGTATGAGTTTTTAAAAATGTGGTCTGAATCCTTTATTATATAACATATGGCTTTTGCTTGCTTGATGAAATCAGTGATGCCAGTATATATGGATGCATGACTCTTTTAGATTATGTACAAACCAGCAAGGATGTGATAAACCTTGTTCCCTTTTTTTCCCTTTTTGCCCCCTTATTAATTTTATTGCTGCCTTATGTATATTGATTTTTTCATTAGCATAATAAACTTATTGGACATATCCATCCACACACCAAGTATAACAGGGCATTCATCAAGTTAGGAGAACAGTAATTAACTTGTTGAAAATAGAAATTTAACAGACACAAGAAAGTTTGGGATTAGATATGGATAAGCAGGGAATATATGCAGTATTTGGGTCTTTTAATTCCAGGTTTTCTTACAGTTCAATTAGCTACTACAAAATGAATTGCTACAATGCATTATTTTTATAACAAATCCTGATTCCATTAGCAGGCAAATATCGGAAGAATACGCTGATTTCTGTGAGAAATTATTACCTTAAAGTGTCTGCCTTTCGAGTCTTGATTACTGTTTTGCATCAACTGCGACCTGAGACCTCTTAATAATAGATAAGGATAAACGAGATGCTCATCAAGCTAGTAGCCATGTTAAAATGATTTTTGGTTTAACTTTTTTGTCAAAAAAATTCAAAATGATGCCCTCAATTTAAGTTTCAATGAACTTTTTTGTCAAATGGCCATAATATATACTAGCTTT